CATATTGGAGGAGTATATCTTATTGAAAATATTTATTTTAACATCATTTTCAATGTGGTTTCAAAGTTTAAAAGTATAAATTTGAGCTAATAGGAAGATAATATTGTTTCAGTGCCTAGAATCATAAAATATCCCAGGTTGGAAGGAACCAACAAGGATCATCAAGTCCAACTCCTTGCTCTACAAAGCACCACCCAAAATTAAACCCTATGTCTAAGCGCATTGTCCAAAATCTCTTTGAACTCCAGCAGCTTGGAGCCATGACCACTGCCCCAATGAGCCTATTCCATGCCCACCGCTCTCTGGTGAAGAACCTTTCCCTACCTCCCACCCTGCCCATCCCCGGATGTAGCTTCATGCTGTTCTCTCTGGTCCTGTCACAGTCACCAGAGAGCAAAGGTCAGTGCTGCTCCCCTGCTACTCTCACCAGGAGTTGTAGGCTGCCATGAGGTAGCACTATGTTACAACTACTAGGTCGCAGGTTCGCTGATCGAGTAGAGATGGTCTAGAAGGCTTAGAATAAAATGGAACTAATTTACTCAACTTTTTTTTTTTTTTTTTAGATAAAGTTTAATGTTTCATGTTGTTTGTTCTGGATAAGTTACCAAGTTATGGATAAGGCAGCTTTTCTAGAGCTGAAAGTAATTAAAGTACTGAGACATTCTGCCAAAGAAAAAGTGAATTTTGCTTGGAGTCTTAGTTTATATGCTGTGCATTTAACATAGACTTTCTTTGAGTTTTCTGGACAGATTCTCTGGTAAGTATCAGAGAAATGCTGGTCATGATTCCTTCTGGCATTGACTAATGAGACATCTGGGTTTTGCAATAAGTGTTATCAAACATTATGTGCCCATGCTTTGGGCAGTTGCCTGCAGGGCACTGGAGCATTCTTGCCCTGCTCACATTATTTTGAAGCAGCCCTTCTCAACATGTGGGAAATACAGAATTGAAGTGAAACACCAGTGAGCTCTGAGACAGGCAGAAGTGCTAACTGGTTGTGAGTGAAATGCACTCTGAAGTGCTTTAAAAGAAAAGTTACTTTTTTGATTGCTCTGAAGCGCACAGAATAGTCTCCAGAGGGGAGAAACAAGTGGTGCTTTTGTTAGATGCCTGTCTTGTTTGAAATGCTGATCACTGCAAGTGGAGTCGAGAAGGAATTTTCTCTTGCATTAGGCTGTCAGGAATTTTAGGACTTTTTTTTCCATTTTATGTGGTAAATTCTATATGGTTTACTACTTTCTGATATGACATTATGTATTTCCTTACCGTTATAGCGTAATGGCCAGCAGTATATGGGGAATAGATTAAATGATCTGGTTATTTATTATATAAATATCCCTTGAGACTCCACAGGATTTGACAGTGAACCAGGAGATTGCCTTCTTAGGCAAAGTTTTATTTGTTGGGAAGGACAATTTAAAGGGGCTTCTTTGTCACTGCATTCTACCTCTTGCTACCCTCTTTGCTATAACCATGCAATTTTTTTGGTAGGCTTATGCTGAATGATTGGTTATTTAAAAAAAAAAAAAAAAGAAAGAAAAGTATTAAAAGAATAGAAGAAGGGTCTTAGTTTGAGCTGCATGGAAATGGGGTATGACTATTTGTCCCAGCATTGTCCTTGAAAAAAGACAGTGGTTCTAATACTCCTCTTAGCCCAAGAAATTATACCCACTAGTCGCTTTGTATTACCAGGAATTGTCCTAAAGAAAACACTGAAGAGGGAGGCAAGATGTGTGATCCTGATTAATCTTCTCCATAGTTGCCTGGAGCCCTAAGATGTATTGGGCTAGGCAAGATGAGTTGGGAAGAAAAGAGGAATGTCATGGGGGAAGAAGGAATGAATTATAAGTTGAGAAGTACTTCCCAGAGGAAGATGAAAATGGGGGTTGCTCAGGGCTATGTGAGCATGGTTTTTGTGACTGTGAGCCTGATTAAAATCAACATGTTCTGCCTCAGAACTGTGCTTCAGAAGATCTGGTTTAATTTACAAAAAACTTGTAATTCTTACATTTAAAGAGAAGTTTTCCTCAGTATATCAAGCAAGCATGAACAGATGCATTTCCATGTGGATTTTTATTTTATCTCTAAAAATCACGGGTCTAAGAATTGTGTAATCTGGATGCTGTGAACATTCTGTTGCAAAGAAACACCATATTTTTGCATCAGATCAATTTGAATACAAGCAATATGTCACAACAGGGGCTTGAAAAATTAAGCTGCCAAGGCTATCTGCAAGATCTGCCTGTAGTGTGCAGGTAGAAGGTGGTTAAGCTCATTTTCTTGGGTAGCAACACAGGCCAGAGAAAAGTTGAGAGCCCAAAGAACTTTGCAATATGTGAATTACATCTAATTAATATAAAATTGCATAGAAACCAGTCTTATGATGGCATCTGTCATACAAAGGCACATGTCTTAGTGATGATGTTAGCAAAATTTGTCCCGAGTTTTTGCCCTGATAATTATACCTCATAACTGTTGGGGTGAGTATGGAACAGGGAAAGTGACTAAGCATCTCTCTTTATTTTCCACAGAAATAATTTGTGATCAGTTTTGAAACTGTGAATACAAAGTAGATCTTAGTTTCCCTCTTGTTGATTTTTAATTAGTGTCACTCTGAAGACCTCAGAGATGCTGCTTTGAGTTAGATAAAGAGAGGAAAATTGGTCACTGTATTCTTGTGGTGGTATTTATGTTCATTTGCTGTTGAGACTCAGCTGAACAGCATATATAGGATACAAAAAGCAGCTATACTGGAGATTAAAAGAAACTTAGTAACTGTATTAATAAAAATTGAGGTGTGGAATAATTGTGGATTGCTCTGGTTTCAATAGAAGGAGAGCTTGTAATATATTTTTTCCTTCTTAATTACTGTTTTTCTTTTCTTATGGGTGTCCCCAGCATTAGCTTGCTGATAGTGAATTAGTATAGTTGTCAATATTCAAACGAGTATTTAATAAAAATTCTGATAGTTCTGTTCAAGGTGAAGTTTGGGAAGAGGCTGAATAGGCTTTCCTCATTTTTCTTGGAAAATACGTTGAACACTTTATCTCAGTGGAATACATCTTGTACAATGTAGGAAATGTGTGAAAACTGAAAAAAATGTGTTCTGCCACCTTGAAATTAACTTCTTTGTTGCTGATTTTGTGCAGATTGCCTCTAAGAAGTAAGGATTCACCTTCCTTACCTCTCATCCTGCTTCTCATCTCATAAAGCTACAAGTATTATTTGTAAATGGACTGATGTAGCTTTAAAATACATTCATGGTATTGCAGTTAACTATAGTTTGTCTATGTCTACAAGACAGTAATCTGCTTAGTGTTCTGTTTCTCCTATACTGCATCCTTAACACTTCTAAGCTGGTGGCTGGCATTTAATAAGCAAAACAGTGTCAGTTCAGATGACAGAGGTTGCTCAGTGTAAGTGCTGTCTGAATAACAGATGTTGCAAGATCTGAACAGCTTTTTTGTCAGTCTGACCTTGAGTTCTTGCTTGAAAATAATTTGTGGTGCTGCACTATTTTTTAACTGTACCTGTTGGTGATATTTTTGTTTTGTAACTGGTACCCTTTCTGTCTTTCCCTTGAACTACCTCTTATGCATCGCTACCTAATTAGCATCAGCCAAAACCCTGCATTTTTCTGGACTTGATTCTCATTTACATCAACATCTTTACGTATCTGTTTGGCTACATAAATAAACCATTTTACTGCATGGGAATTACATGCATGTTCACCTAAAACTTAGTATAAATATATAGGGATTTGCACAAACTTAGAGCATGTTGTACACCACCAGTTCTGAATTTAAGAAAGTTCTCGATAAAAATAAGCATCAATCCTTTTCTTTTTTTTTCCTAAAATATCCATTATGTTGGAGGTCACTTGAGTTATTTTGCTTGAAGAAATGCATACATAGTTCTTCATTTCCCTCAAAAGCAATTTAACTGCAAAAATTGCAGATCAGTATCTTACCTTTTGTATGCTATCCTCCATATTCCATTGCTTTTGAGATGCTTAAGTGATACTGTGTGTCAAAACTAAATTGTAGGGGCAGAAGAAAAAGGATCTGAAAAAGCTTTACTTCCCATTGGAGCAGTGAGAGACTGACCTCAAGTGGTGTAAAACCAAAGTTACCAGGGGAAATAAAACAAGCATAAAATGGAATAAATGAGATATCTTTGAAGAAATAATATTTCTCATTCTTTTCTGATTTTTGTTGGATGAAACATCACTTATCTTTATTTCACTGGTTTAGATGGTTTGTAATGTGGATGCTATTAAAAGGGATTGACCGGTGTCTGTGTTCTCAAAGACTTTTTGTGTCCTGAGAGGGATGCTCTAACAAGCTGACCCCAAGACAGCAGGCTAGGAGCTGAGGTCCAATTATCCTGGCTGCTGCCTCTGCGTGATTTTAATTGAAATGAGTAGGAGTTTCATCCGAGGAAGTGACAGGATAATCAGTCTTGGTTTCTAAGCCCTTTCTGGCACTTTCCCAGCAGCATGCTCACTCTGCTTTCACAGCCTTGTCCTGTAAAATGAAGAGAGAGGCTAGGAAAATTATGAAGTAGTGTACCGTGCAGAATGGGAGGGGTGTTTCCAGTCTGTATATTTTTACATGAATAAATAATATTAATTCTGGAGATTTCTCAGGCAGTTCTATTGGTCTGATTTATCAGTATATATGGAAACAATCAGGTATAGCATGCATGCATACAACTAAAATATGTTCTGTTATTTTGAAAAGTCTCCTTTTATATAAATAACAAGCATTTCATTTTAAAGGATTTGAGGGTAGAATGGTTTATGAACTCTTACAGGAAAATCTGCTTACAAATCCTTGGGTAACTCAATTGAACTCCAAAACCTCAGTTCCTGTCCTGCAGAGATTTCTCTGTGTGCTTTTGTTTTACTCTTTCTGTTCTTTATGTAGACTAAAATGTCTGAATTATCAAAAACCTGTAGTGTTGTCTATATAACAAACCCACTGTTTTCTTCTTTACAGATCCTTTTGGAGCCAGGGGTGATACAGGATGTGTTAGCAGCTGGGAGTCATTTGCAGCTGCTGGAGCTTCTCAGTTTATGTTCTCATTATCTCATACAGGTGAGATTTATCTTCCTGATGATTGGTAAACTTTTGTTCCAAGCCTTATTTCAGTAGGAAAGCATTAGTAAAATATCTGGTGGAGCTTAAGTGCTACTATATTGGATCTCAGGAGACTTGAATTCTGTGTAATATGGGTATTAATCTTTGGTAGGTGCTTTGTCCTCCTTATGTTTTGTCCATTTATCCTCAAAACAAGGATGGTCCATTGATTAGTGTCAGCACACAGCAGTTTGATTGCATCTTTCACCGGAGGACTTGCTTTCTTTTTCTGTACTTTCCCAAATGTTAAGCATTTCCCTGTTAGCAATCATGGGTATTGTGAAGTATTCAGATGATTAAACATTCACTACAGAATACTGATGCATGTTCCAGGGCACAGCTTCCTCTCACTTAATGAGCAGGCTATATTACAACAGCACTTTTTTATCAGCTTGTCTCATACCCGTAATGCTAATAGTAATATCCACATTAGGTCTATCATTATGAGGCAAAAATCCTGAATCTAGTAAAATCATTTTATGTGATTGGCTTGCATAGGAGATAGCTCATGATGGTTGCAAGAACATAACTTTAATGTGTAGCTGTGAAAAGTATTATTAAAAAAATGGTAATAGTACTCCTGCTAAACTGTTTACTTTTCTTTGTAATCTTTCATTATTCATTTCTGAAATGGATGGGTTTGCTGTACCTGTGCAACAGTTGGGCATGGAAGTACACATCAGCACTGTGCTTTCTGTATGATTTTGCCTTTCACCAGCAGAACTTTGAAATCTGTTGAGTGTGCTTGGTAGCACAGTGAGCTGCTGAGTACCACAGGCATGCAGGATCCTGTGCTAGGAGCCTCAGGATGTACTTGAAGGCTTTGTGTATCATGGAGAGCCTGTTTGAGTGTAGCCTCAGGGAAGCCTTAAAATATAAGTTAAGACACTCAGTATTAATTTGTGCATTATGAAATGATTAGGAAATTAAAGTAGCTGGTAAAGGACTGCAATTTTTTTTTTTTTTTTTCAGTTTTGTTTTCAGAACTGGGGAAAGTTGAAATTTTCTGAGAAAATCAATGTGGAATGTAACGGGATAGGTGGTCATTTAAGAAAAAAAAATATGAGCCACAAAACCACTTGGCCTAACAGTTGTTAAGCAGGCATGGGAAGTGGTTATTATAATGAGAAGGAAGATAATAGACCTGAAACGATAGTCATACTGTATATTTAATTCTCCCCATAACAAAATTATTCATGTCTTTGCTGCTCATATACTCCTTGTCAGAAATTGGACCAAGGAGACCACTGCAGTGAAGAAGTTAGAAAAATAGTAAAGAGTAGGGAAGGTGCTGAATATTGTAGTGTGGGTGAGGTAGGGACATGAGAAGATGGTAAGTTGCCCAGTTTAGGTCATGAAATTAAGTTAGCATAAAGATTTGTGTGAAATAGCCTCTGATAACAGTAGCTCTTCCTTTAGCACTCTCTTAATACTTTTTGATCCTGATATCAGTGGGGTGGAATATTGCTATAGAATTAACAGTGTTTTTAGATGTAGTCATTGATGTGTAAGCCATAATCAAACATTTAGGATCAGACTGCTAATGAACTAAAAAAATAAAGTAAGCAAAACAAAGCATAACAATGAAAAACAGTTAGAAAACAATTGCTGCCAGATTACTCTGTTATTAATAGACCAGTAAAAAATCCTATAGAGATGATTGTCCTTATGTTGTTACTCAGATAACATGAAAGAGTAGTGTGTACCAGGTAAGGTAACTGGAGCTATACTGATGTGAAAATCAAAAGGAAGCTGGACCCAGTGTCAAGATTTTCTGAAAGGAGGTAAGGAATAAGGAAGGAAGAAATGGTAGGGCGTAAGGTATTGTAGTGAAAATACTAAGTCATGGCTTGAAACAGTGACTGAGCACCTGGTGGAAAGGCAGGGCCAACCCAGGGGAGCTCAGGTGTATGCAATGCACTGGACTGACTGGAAGCCTCAGACCTCATCAAGGGTTGGCAGTGGAGGCAAGGGTATATTGCTGGAGATCCCTATCTACCTGAGGCATTCCAGGAGTAAGCAGATTTTTTCCTTTGTTTCTGTGTCCACAGCTGCTGCATTTGAGATTATCCTCACTGTAGCCTGTGACTTTGCTACTCCACAATCATTGCTGATTTTCCTTTGCTTTACAGCATTATAGGTGTAGAATGTATATTGGGAGACAGAGTTAAAGTATTTTTGAATTGGTCTTATTTTAAGATTTTTAATTAGCACAGACATCTGTGGGATGACTGTAGTTCACATCATGTAAGGTTCTAGACTGTATTTTACTCTTTCCACTGTATTTATTTATCAAGTTTACCTGAACAAGTTATACCCGTAGACAGATTTGTGGTCAGAAAGATCAGAGTAATGATTTATCTGCTTTGTTTGCTCTGCAGAGATATAGTCTGTGCAAGTAATCAACCTTGACTTGTCATGTAAGCTTTTTAGAAGAGGTCAACAAAGAGGTGCATAGTGTGACATCTTACAGTATCTAAATTACTTCCATCAAATATCTGCTTGCTCTACAAAGAGTTTAGTAACTTGAAAAATATCTGATGCTTTATTTTAGAACAATCTAAAAGTAAGGTCAGTATAGTTAAAGAATGATTTCTTAAAACGCTTATTCTTTCTGGATTTGGGAACTAGTATATCTTGTCACACATGACTTCCATGCTTTGGTACATTTGCTGGGAAGGGAATAATTCTTGCCTCTTCTTTCTGATGTTTTTTGAATCTTGGGATGCTGCAGATTTCTTTGTGTGCTATAACAGTGACTTTTATTTTTGCTGCTTTCTGTTGTTCAATTACCATGAACTTAGTTTAGCACAAACTTTTACAATAGTTTTCAATAAATTCAGATAATAAGTGGGATCTAGCTGTCATTTATTATTGTTGTGGAATGATCATAGAATCATAGAATTACTCAGGTTGGAAGGGACCTCAAGGATCATCAAGTCCAACCGCAGCCTAACCATAGTACCCTAACTCTAACAACCCTCTGCTAAATCATATCCCCAAGCACCACATCCAAATGGCTCTTAAACACATCCAGGGACGGTGACTCAACATCTCCCTGGGGAGTCTATTCCTATGTTTAACCACCCTTTCTGTAAAGAAGTGTTTCCTAATGTCCAACCTAAACTTACCATGGCACAACTTGTGGCCATTTCCTCTCGTCTTGTCACCTTCACCTGTCACCAGTGAGAAGAGACCTACCCCGCTCTCACTGTAAGCACCTTTCAGGTACTGGAAGAGAGTAATAAGGTCTCTCCTCATCCGCCTTTTCCCCAGTCTAAACAGCCCCAGCTCCCTCAGCCTCTCCTCATAGGGCTGATTTTCCAAGCCCTTCACTAGCCTCGTGCCCTTCTCTGGACCTGCTCCAGTACCTCCACGTCCTTTTTGTACTGAGGTGCCCCAAACTGAACACAGTACTTGAGGTGAGGCCTCACCAATGCCAAGTACAGGGGCAAGATGACTTCCCTAGTCCTGCTCACCACACCATTCCTGATACAAGCCAGGATGCCAATGGCCTTCTTGGCCACCTGGGCACACTGCTGGCTCATATTCAGCTGACTGTTCATCAGTACACCAAGGTCCCTTTCCATCAGGCAGCTTTCCAGCCACACCTCCCCAAGCCTCTAGGGTTGCCTGGGGTTGTTGTGACCAAAATGCAGGACCCGACACTTGTCCCTATTGAAACTCATGCCATTAACCTTGGCCCATCGATCCAGTCTGTCCAGGTCCCTCTGCAGTGCCCTTCTCCCCTCTGGCAGATCAACACTCCCTCCCAGCTTGGTGTTGTCTGCAAACTTACTGAGGGTGCACTCATCAAGTCCCCTCATCAATGAAGATGTTAAACAGAAGCGGCCCCAGTACTGAGCCTTGGGGGACACCGCTCATGACCGGCCGCCAACTAGATTCAACTCCATTGACCACGACTCTTTGAGCCCGGCCATCCAGCCAGTGCTTCACCCGGTGGAGCCTACACCCATCCAGACCACAGGCAGCCAGCTTCTCCATGAGAATGTTATGGGGGACAGTGTCAAAGGCCTTACTGAAGTCCAGGTAGACCACATCGACAGCCTAACCCTCATCCATTAAGCGGGTCACCTTGTCAAAGAATGAAATCAGGTTTGTCAGACAGGATCTACCATTTGTAAACCCACGCTGAGTGGGCCTGATCCCCTGTTTGACCTTTAATTGGTCCATGATGGTTCCCGAGATTATTCGTTCCATAACCTTCCTGGGTACCGAGGTGAGACTGATAGGCCTGTAGCTACCAGGATCATCTTTCCGGCCCTTTTTGAAGATGGGTGTCACATTTGCCAGTTTCCAATCCACCAGGACATCCCCGGTTAGCCAGGACTGACAAAAAATGATGGACAGTGGCTTGGCAATCACATCTGCCAACTCCCTCAGCACTCTGGGGTGCAGTCCATCTGGTCCCATGGACTTGTAAGCATCCAGCTTTCACAGCAGGTCCAAAACTATCTTGTCATGGATCATGAAGGGCTTATTCTGTTCCCCATCCCTATCTACCAGCGCAGGGGGCTGTGTTCCCAGAGAGTAACAAGTCTTACTATTAAGGACTGAGGCAAAGAAGGCATTAAGTACCTCAGCCTTATCCCTATCCTTGGTGACGAGGTTGCCCTCGGCATCCAACAAGGGATGGAGATTTTCCCTAGCCTTCCTTTTGCTATTAATGTGTTTATAAAAGCATTTACTGTTTTCCTTTACCTTAGTGGCCAAGCTCAGTTCTAACTGCGCTTTGGCTTTTCTAATTTTCTCCCTGCACAGTTTCACTACATACCTGTAATCCTCATAAGTAGCTTGCCCACTCTTTCAGAGACCATAAACTTTCCTTTTGTTCTTGAGTTCCAGCCAAAGGTCTCTATTCAGCCAGCCCAGCTTCCTTGCCCGTTGGCTTGTCTTCCATGACATGGGGATGGTCAGGTCCTTCACCTTTAAAACAA